TATATATATATATTGTGTCTTAGCTTGACTCATTGGTTGTGGCCATTGGTATAAGTCTCTCGGGTTGGTTGTTCGAACCCTGCGTAGGATCAAATTGCACACCTTCTGGAAGGGGTGGTCCGCCCTTCGGTCAGACTATGGGGTTGATCGGCGACCAACCCTTTTTAAAAACATGTATGTATGTATGTATCCATATATTGCAAAGTGGGTTTGTGATCAACTCATGTGTTGTCCAAGGCGAGCATCAAACGCGGGACCTCAGGGGTCTTACACATTATGCCTACTAAAGAGCCAACCGGTTCGCGTATATATAAATATAAATCCACTATTTTAATTCATGTTGTATTATTTAATTAAATTACCATTACAATTTAATATTTAAATGTGACATTAATTTATGATTTAATTTTTAAAAATAATATATCTTATTATTCAATTTGACATTAATATATTTAAAAGTAGAATAACTCTAACACATACTTTTCTTTCCGAGTACAACTAGTGTCTTATATCTCAACACGGGAAAAAAATTGCGTACGTCAGGGGTACGCATCTTTGCGTACATAATAGTGTACACGGGAGTTACATGGGAGTTACATGGGAGTTACATGGGAGTTACAAGCGTGTACACGAGAGTTACATAAGAGTTACAAGCATGTATAATTGTTATAACGGGGTTACACGGGATTTACACAGGAGGTTACACGGGAGGTACAACAGGTTATAACCCCCAACATGTTATAACCCCCTTGTTACTCTCATGTAACTCCCATGTACACTATTACATATATATTAACAAAATAAAATGCTGCGTACCCCTTGACGTACGCAAATTTTTTCCTCTCACACGACTTGGTTAGGGCATGAGTTTGCTCTCCAGTTTGACTTCCTTTTATAAGAGTAGCTCAGTTCCCTCACCTCCACATTTCTCTTTTCCTTTTTCATACAAAAATGTACATCAGGCTTTTGGTTTGGGCACAGCTATGCACGAGACTTCTGACCTACTCTCTACTACACATGTGACTCCTACGCACTTCTCATAGGAAGTAATTGAGCCTCTCCCATGTGGCTCGTCTTCTATACGAGAGAGACACCCTAGAAATCGTTCTTCGGGTAGAAGAAATATTGCCTTAGTACTACGCATGTAGACCTACGTGCGTAGCCAATCAAATGCCGCATCGTGGAAAGCCCGACCCCACCTATTTAAGCACAGAAGAATAACAGAAAAATAAATTTCATATTATTCACGACCCGGCCCGACCCTAAACTCGAACCCGCCTAAAAAAACTTTTCATTTTCTTCGCACTATTACGAGTAGGTTTTAGGCTCCTTATCGTCTTCCTCGGCGAAGCGTTACCTCCTTTATTGGTGAAACTCTAGGCATTCTCCGACACGCAAGGGAATGTGACCATGGCGTCCAACCGTTCGTTAAAATCATGGTATGCACCTAAACCTAAACATGAAATGCACAACAATACCACATCAATATCACACAAGTAACACACCAATAACACATAAAAAATACAACAATACCACATCAATACCACACAAATAACACACCATGACTTTGAATCAATAGCACAAAAATAATCCTACCTCAATGACTGCATAAAACCGAATTTGGTGGACACAGATATCTCTATGACAGTTTTGATGTGTTATTCTTGTATTATTCGTGTGTTTTTCTTGTGTTATTCCTGTGTTACTGGTGTGTTACTCATGTGTTATTCCCATGTTATTCATGTATTATTGATGTGTTACCTCTTATGATGTGTTATGCTTATGTTTAGGGATATCTAATACACTTGTGATTGTATTGAAGTGTATTAGGTGTGTTATTTATGTATTATTGATGTGTTACTGATGTGAAATTGATGTGTTATTCCTGTATTATTGATGATGTGTTATTCATGTGATAACACCAATTACACTGGAGTAACTTATGTTGAATTCTTATTATTATGTTATAGAGGTTTTATTGAGGTGTCATTGATATGTAAACAAGAGTAACACCTCATGGTGAGCTTCATATCACATGAATAACACATCAATAATATTTAAAAGGCAGCTCCATATGGTTCTAATATGTGTTATTGTTTCTTCAATTTGCAGAATTTTGAGTGCAAGGACTTTCAACTATAGATGTCATCCATCTGCAGTGAAAGGTGCCTTGGATGTAATTAGATATCTCCTTTCAGAGGAGATTATTATTAATTTAAAAGAAATGAGGGTGTTCAATTTCATTGACATGCCCCCATATCCCCAGGACAATGTCATGACTTTACATATTCTGAGATGTTGGGATAATGAGAGGAGGGTCTTCAAAATGAGTGGAAAGGAGGTTAAATTACATGCTGACTACGTGACTTTGTTGATAGGGATGCCAAACAGAGGAGAGTCTGTTTCATGGAAGAAAGGTCCCATATCAAATGTGGATGCCAGATAAATAAAGAACCCACTGACAAACTTTTTTTGCAGAAGGAGCTTCCACCCCTCCATTTGAGTAGTTGTACTTGAAACTCATATTAACTAATTTATTTTTTACTTCAAGCAATTTTCATGTGCTTGCAGAGCTATCTTCTTTTGCTGTAAATGTACAAGTTCTGTAAATGTACAAGGTACAAGCTTTTCTGTCCTTTAATTGGCCTGCTGCCATATGTGAAATGATCATCGATCAAGTGAGAACCGCCTCCATGAAATTAAGGCAGAATAAGCTGATAGGAAGGATTTGTATTTCTTTTAACGATTAATATTTGTTGTTTACATTAAAACATTATTATTCTAAATTTTTGTTTTGTTGTATTAAATTTTGCATACATGTTTATGGTATAAACATCCTCATCTATGGTTTTACGAGCACACGTCTTTGTTAACTCCTACTGCACCTGATGCTAGACTCGCATTTTGAGGTGGCCAACCAATCATGGGTGGAGTGCTGAGAAAATTCATGAAGCCTTCAAGAGACTCGATCATTTAAATCATTTAATGCAATAAAAAATTTGTCATTTTAATGTTTATTGCAGATTATTGGCACCTCTATTTAATAGCTTTTTAAGAATAACTATAACGATTTTGACGAATACATTTGTATTGTAGGTTAATGACAGATTCTTAGATTTGAGAGAAGATGAAGTACAACTGCTCGCAAATCCAGACCAGGAATCAAATCCAGATCAGGGACCATCACTGAGTCCTGCAAGGCAACTTCCACACCATGAAACTACGACAGGACCATCTTCACCCAGATCGTATGCCAGATCATCTGCAAGTACATGAAAACATTAGTGCAGGCTGAAGAAGTCGACTGGAGTGAGCATATAGATTGGCAAGATGATATGGAACTATTTAAAGCTGAATTTGTATATGACATTTGCATATTTTCGAGGACTTCATAGTAAATTTGTATATTTATACTTTGTATATTTGTATAGGTTACTGTATATCTACTATATATCGAATAGCTTCAAGGTGTATTCAGGACAGTGAGTCTAATAGGCCATATATGGGGCAAAATGTTCAGATCTTGGAGAATGTTGGTGAGGTGAATGTTCCCCCAGTTCCAAGATCACTGCAAGTACTTATAGAATAAAAAGATTTAGAATCAGACGTGTGTTTATGTTTCACTTTCTACCTGACAATGATGTTTAATGATTTCATTTCTTTGTATATTTGTATACTTTTGGAATGATGCTTTTTGAAATAATATTAGGTAGAAGAAACATAAATCATGAATTAATGTTTGTATTTTTAATAAATATAAAAA